CCCCAAAACCCCAAAACCCCAAAACCCCTCAAAATATTTTAAGGTTGTAAATTTAAAAATATTCCATAATTCCGGCAAATGGAAGCCTTGAATTCTCAAGAGAATAACCCACCAAACATCCTCACCCACGAACCCAAAGAAAAAGTTCTCAAAGTCCTAGAAATGGTGCTTTACAGGAACAACAGATGTAATGTGGTGTTCAGTGATGGTAGTGCCATTATCCTGCACCCCAAAGGAGACTGCTTCACATATTTCTATGAAAATGGGGAGAAAGCAAGGCATTTCATTGCCTTCCCACCTGTTAAGGACAGAATAAAGGACAAGCTAGTCTCTTCAGTTGACTTTTATAACAAATATTGCTCGAACCCGATTGTCCTCCTGGAAGAAGCATTTGAGGGGAAGATATCCCAAAAATCATCAGAGATTAAGAAGTTTTACTGGAAATATGACTCAAATACCCAGCCTGTGAAACATAAATCAGGGACTTACTCATATAGCTCCATCAACGGCTACTGAAAGCTGAAGCTGAACCCTAACAAGTTCATATTTTGTGCTGAATTTCTTCAAAAATTACCAAATAAAAGCCTGGACTGGGTCAGCAATGGAACCTCTGACAAGCGTAAACTCAAACAAGTGTGCAAATATGCATTGGTTAAGCAATATTTCTCGGTAAACAAAGTCCCCGAACACTTCTTGTTCCCTGCCAAGGTCCTGTACCCAGAACTGAAGGGGTTTGAGCTTGAAATATCAGAGGACTTACAAACAGGAGTCCTCGGAAATGAATCAAAGTTTTATAAACAGCTTACTGTTGATGAGTTCTCTACCAAAATACCTGAAGTCGCTGGAATGAATATAGCTACATATCTCGCAGAGAAGACCTCAAGGTACTCTCAGAGTTACTCTAAGACTTCTATTGATACAAAATCTGTTGGAGGTCCTCCTGAGAAAGACTCCAGGCTTAAAGAAGCAGGAGTCTGGGAGAGTGACGATGTCTCTCCTTCCTGCAGCTCATTTAGCTATAAATAAGTCAAACATCTCCTTAATCTGGACTAAGGGAGCTACTTATAGAAGGACAGAAGTCGATAAGGTAGAGATCTTTATTCATGGTGACAAGACAATCTTAATAGCAAGAGACTACGGTAACTTCTTCGACCACTACCAGGTTAACACTCCTGAAGGGAAGCTAAGGACTTTTCCTATTACTGCTATTCCTCTCTATTCAGTGTCAGAAAGCCAGAAATACACCTTCAAAACCCTTGTTGAGAAGAGTCTAGAAATGTTTAGGAATACAGCTGATGACATGAAAGAAGAGGCTAAAAGTGAAGACTCTTTGCAAGATATTTGGATAAAGTCCATAACCTCTATCACAGACAAAGACATCGTAGATACCCAAGAAGTGCCAGGATGTGGGCGATTCTTCGCTTACAGAGTTAAGCAAGAAGGCCTAGGGGAGTTCAATGAGTCTATTGAGATCAAGTTTGAAGACAGGACTCATTTAAGAATGATTAAAGGCTTCCCTCTAATCAAGATCAATACCTTCTTCGGCACTGAATTGAAGCTAAATCTTGACGAAAAACTTGAATTCACTAAATTCTTAACAAAAGAAGAGAAAGAGTCGATTCCATACTACATTAAGACAGGATTAGAGTATATGGAGTGGGCTTTCCTGTCTCTTGAAGAGAGATACAAACGAGAGAAAGAAGAAATCACTCATCAGAATCGACTAGAATCATTATGAGGGTCCAATAATACTCTATATTAAATATCAATATTTTATAAGATTTTGGGGTTTTGGGGTTTTGGGGTTTTGGGGTTTTGGGGTTTTGGGG